GTTCCAGAATCCTTTTTTTATATAAGATTTGCGTGTGAAGTAATGATCCGAAGTATATCTTCATTTTGTTGAAGAATCTCACAGCATTTACTTGAAAGCAAGTTAAATCAGCGCGCAAGTTCATGCATAGGTCATCTTACATAACCAGAAAACTGAAACAATGAGAGATCGACATGAAATTAACCATTTTAGTGGATAGCAATTCGGGTGTCCAACTCATTTAGGTAGATCGCGGAGTGGCTGGTACACTGTCCAGAATAAACGTGAAAATAATGCGACAAACCGCTAAAGACTTCAAAGCACTGCCGGAAATCACAGAAACGACGAAGAGTGAAAGCATATACCCACTGCACATTAGTCTAGCCTTGAACATAAAAATTAGCGATCTCCAGTTGGTAATATGATTGTTGTAATTTTTTGTACTGGTAGTATTAGTATTTCGAGATGACCGAATTACAAGAATCGAACCAAGACACAGAGAGGGAAGAATTCGGGAATTTGTATTTGGCGGAATTATTATTCAATTCGTATAAGAAATATATTAACAAGCAACGGTAAGTATTTAAACAATACAGAGATAGAAATTATCAATCACCACACTGATATACTGTGACATAACAAAAGATCCACTCAAGCTTTTTGTCAATAAAATTATTGGGTAATTTTCATTCAACTGAAAGAAATTCTCGATTTGAGTAAGAGTTTTGCAACAACCTGTCGAGATTCCTCGTCTTACACAGAATCAACTACACAACATGTCATATTTATTCTGATGAAGTGATAGAACGCTTTCGTTGACAACTTAAGACACATGATTGATATCTCACTCCAACCCCACTCACTGGACGAAATTCTTATCTATGGCGATGGTTGGTATCCGAAAATCAGTGAAAACTGATGCTTACCATTCACCTTGAGAAATGATATTCGGAAACCCACTGAAACTACTATGCGAGTTTATTAGCCACAATGATAAGAACTTGATAAGAATAAGTATGTTGACAGATTTTGACTACAAATAGCCAACTTAAGGCCAATTTCTCCACTAGAACGGTCAAAAACGGTGTACACGCCAAAGGAATTCGACTGCTGCTCACACATATGGGTGGGACGTGATTAAACACCACCACCTCTCAGTGCACTATACGAAAGATCCTTCAGAGCAAGGACAAGGAACTCAAAATGCTTTGCTATTCAGCGAGGTAATATCAAGACAGCGTTATTACTGGCCCGTATAGACAATGATCCTGCCCACGTATTGACCGAAAGACTTCCATGAACAGTAGTCGACAGTGCAGATACTAGTTAGAAATCTATTAAGGCTAAAAGGCGTCTATGGACCAAACCCCTTAGAGGCGGAAAATCTCAAAAAAACTGTGCAACAGGTATCTGGAGGACTGAATACATAAATTCACCTGTTGCAAATATAAACAGGCATGTTATTGTTCTTTCCCCCCACAGTTGTGAACACAAACAAGAATTAGGAAGCATATATGTCGAGGGTCCCTGTATTTTTTGTAAACAAGAGGAAAACGATTTTTACTTTTTTAAAACTGTGCTTCACTTAACTATGTCTTGGTCGGGTACTAATTTGAAAAAAATAGGAACTGTACCTTTTTATAAACAAACTATGATAGCCACTCCTTCATTGTGCATGTGGTCATCGTACTGACGACGGGAGTAGACTAACGACCCTTAAGGTGACAATTTAAATAGTTCATGTCCATTCCATTAGCTCTCACAGATCTCTGTGTCGTATATTCTCATTTCTTTAGCGTCCTTTCCAGCCTCATAAATTGTGCGAACATTCCATGTTCTTATGCTTATTTTGCCCGAATCAAAAGAACATGCATTTGCTGATTGACTGTCTGAGGGTCCTCACCGAGTGACTTCATTTCCTTTCTGCAGTTCCAGCGAAGAATAAGTTCGTTTTTATATTTTTCTTGTTCTTTGAACTTTCTGAAGGGTTCGGGTTAGTTTTCCACGATGCCTTCACTATCCCTAAGCTGAACCTCCCCTCTTTTCCCGGTGTTAGGATAGGCTAGAAAACCAGCATAAAAAAAGTTTCCGAACAGTGATGTCTGTTTATAATCCAGTGTAAAACATTTCAGCAGCTTGTAATTCACTCTTTGTTCGAGCGCACACAAATAACCTTTGAGGATACAAAATTGAGTCACCAAAATCCAAAGCACAACCTGAAACTTAGTGTACCTAAATAGAATAATATTAACAACAGAATGTCGGAAAGCTGCTCAATTTTTTTTCTACTGAACAAAATGGCATAAACCTCCAAATATGAGGTTATCCAGCGTCCAGACGTGAAAAACAACAAGTGAACCCAAAAAATTAGCTCGTAATTGTGTAAATGTCGAATAAGACAAAAAGCACACAACAGTCTACTGAATAACAAGCAGTCTAATTAACTTAAACTGTGTAATGGTATGCAAGGCACAACTGTGGTGTTTAAAATTGGAAATATTAGAAATTGCGCACTCTACTTTGGTTTGAACAAACAAATTTGGTTGCATTTGGATGAAAACAACCATGTGCACATAAGAGGGTTTTCTAATAGTAATGTGATACTTAGGCACTATGGTATGCTATATCCGTGAATTCGTAAGTTATATGAAGACCGCCATCTGTAAAATACTATTGTATTTTGTGGTTTCAGTACATTAAACCATTTGATGATGCTTTCAAACTGGCCTCCCTCACGTACTGTGACCTGAAAATAAATAGTATTATAAATCTAATAGAAGAGTTGTGTGCTTACAGTTCTGCAAGACAAAGTTCCCGAATTTCTTGCCTGAATTGAAGTGTTTATCAACAACAACATTAACAAGTTGAATAAGCGATGAGCCTTTGTCTCTAATTTAATTGAGCTCATATCATTTAATACCATTTTTAAGCGTTTAATGTATGACTCCAGACATTTAGCACAGCTTAGGCAGCAAAACACAAATTTTCTCCCAGATCTTAGACTGTTTATCACTTGTCACTGACTAGAAGAGGTTCAACGCCCTGAAATATTCCTAACTGATGCCATAACTTCCTGCCTTGGCTAAATTATATAGTAAACACCTCCCGTCTCTAAGTAAAACTTTTGTTTTACTACTTCTGTAGGGTGGTTTTTAGGCAACGGCAGGTGCCCTACATTGATTTCCTCGGCTCTTAAGTTGCCAACTGCAAGAAACGCTGGGACCCCGCATCAGCCGGTGGTCCAAGATATCGTTGATCGAATCGTTGCGTTAACAGTAACTGTTGGTGAGGTATGTGAGCTGTCACCGAAACAAGTCTACCTGCGTTCCCACCTCCATGAGAGAATAGAACAGGGGCAGGTTTTCTTTAGCAGTTTGTGTGATGCAGTTTTTTATGACCTTGTAGTAGGTATTTAGAAAACACCGTTATCACTACAACTGTTATAATTGACTATTCTTAAGGCGCTTCATGAACTGTTTTATACAGCTAGAGTATCTTAGGAGAGACGCAGATCTCTCAGAAAGAGTCCAAAGACGGTTGACAGAAGGAGTGGTTGGTCTCCGAAATAAACCGTATGATGAAAGGCTAAAAAAATTAGGCATATTCACACTTAGCTACCGCCAGCTCAGGGGGATTTGATTACTGCCTACAAAATAACGAATGGTCAAAATCACCCAAACAAAGATGTTCTGGCATTGAGTAGGTATAGGCTTCCTGGTAGGATGGCTCACCAGAGGGCAAGGACCCGGGTGCACTCCCACTTCTTTTCGCTGCGGGTTATCCCTACCTGGAACTCCTAACCGGCAGGTGTAGCTACGCCACAGTCTGAGGGCACGTTTGAGAGAAGGCTGGAAAATCATGCGACGATACAAGAAATGCGTTCAAATGGCTTGCCCTCTTAAAATCCCATACACCATTCAGGGGTAGACATCTAAATCCATCGTTTTACTTCTTTACACTCTCTCCCGTCTTACTCTCCTGACAACTTTAACAACGCTTATTATTATTTTTACCGATATATAATTTTTCGTATTATTCTTCAAATTTAATCAGCTGACTGTTGTTACGTTTTCTTGATTTCTTTTTCTATCTGTTAGTATGAATAACTTCACTAATTGTATCTACCATTAGTATTGTTATCTCTTTTCTTTGAAGACGGCACCGGAGGACTAACTGATGAAAGGCTCAAGTTCATTCGCGGTAGTAAAAAAGCCTAAACACACCTCGTACTACAAACCACATTTAATTAATCCCAGCACTACTTCTTTTGGAGCCAAGCAGAACTACGACAGTCGAGTAGCGGGACGAGCTACGCAGAAGTTTACCGAAGATCAGGAACATATACCTTACAACTAAGAAGCGAGCAAAAAGAAATCAAATTGGTTTATACTAGCTCGTAAAAACGACAGTGGATATTGGACCTGTTGCACAGCTTGTTATGTTATGCGCGAAAACAGCTTGAGGTTATTTTTGTCTTCACACATGACCAAGAATACAATTTTATTTAGATAAAATTCTTCTGTTAAAATGATTAGAGCTATAAAAAACGACAAAATGTCTTAAAGTTGTAAAACCACACTGAATACAACTATGAATAGTAAACTGTAATTGACAAAATAAACTATAGTTAATCACAAATTCATATGTATACCTATAAATTTGTGATAAATTTGGCGATTCACAAACTACAATATTGTTACAGTAGAAAACCGTTGAATATTAAATGAAATTATCACTGGTCATGGTTAAGAATATTCGAAACAAAGGCCTTCAAATTAGTTAATTCAGTGTTGTATCATCTGAGCTAAATACTAGCTTAGAAGAAAAATTATATTTTCAGTATCCTAGAAGGATTCATGATGTTAGCTATTCTAAATAATTTTTGAGTAGAAAGGTGCATTAAACTAATTATTAATTGAACTGCGAATATCCTGTATTCGCCTCTCTACTTTAGAGAGAGATTTCTAAAGTACTTCATTTTCCATATGGACTTCCAGTTTGGTTTGATAATACTTTGATTTTCAATTTCTACCCAAACACTGCTGACGATTCCGTTCAACTAAAAGTTAACAACAGTAAATAGAAAAAGATCAGTTAAAATAAAAAAAAAACACTCTCAAAATCAGTTAATTATGCATAAACGAACCATTTCTCTGGCTATAGAAATATCTAAATGGGAAGTTATTACTCCTGAAATTAACCGAATAGATTTTTAAAATAATTGCTGACGCATAATGTCAGGTGACAGTCGCATAGAAAATTCAAAATGTATCTCCATGGGTTTGAACTTACAGCCTGGGTGATAACTTATCTGCCTGATAGCTTCTTCTTACTGAATGGTATGAAACCAGGATGAAACAGGCATTAAAAAAGGTATTTTAAAAGACTTTTGTATAGACTTTCTCGTAGATATTACAGAGCATAGAAATTTCAACACCTGCAACACTTTGAAATAGGTGAGTGAATTAATAGACAATACAGAAATTAGTTAGCCAAGATATTTCATCCTCTAAACTAACTTTTGCATGAAAAATGTTAGCACCAACGGACCGGACTAACCAATTAGACAAATATAGGCCTTTATATATATGGATTAACTGCGTCATCCATATGTTGGCAGTACGTTTTCTCCTGAAATCAGCTTACGTGGCGTAGTGTATGATATAACCTAATCTGGTATCGAGTGCTGTGATCCCAGTAGTACATCGGTTAAAATTAAAATTAAAAATGGTGTAATTCTTGAGGGATATTCACTAGAATTTCAATGTTGAAGGTTTTGGGTAATTCCATATTAGTTTGTTTATTAGATATATCACACAGTGAAACAGTATTAGTATTTACTGGATGACGTTTCGAACAAAATTCATTGTTCATAATCATATCAATTCTAATCACACGACTTCGAAACTTGAGTTTTATAGTTATCTTTGTATTCTCCTATTTGTCATCGTAGGGGTAGTAGAATTTCCCATATATCAGGGACAGGTGATAAATCATTCCTATTACATGTATTTGCAGTTGATTCGATAAACAAAGCTTCTGTTATCAATCTCTCCCCATACCCTGTGACATCATCCTATTGTATGGTTGTGTGTGATTGCATGTAATCCTATGGCTAAACTATTCTCTAGATTTCTTATCTTGTTGGGGTCAACCAATCTAGATTTTGCTAAGTTTTTATGTTCAGCTTGTCTGACTGTCCCTGTTCTACTAGTCTGACCTCACAATCATTGCAGGCAGGGTATTAGACAAAAGGCTCCACAGGATCCTTTAACCGACAAAGCTTGTTTCTAATTGAGTTTGTGGGTGGTTTGAACGCCAGCCACTTTTATTCCTGCCTTGTTAAGAATTCTGCGTAAGGCTACCGAGGTTCCTTCTTTGTATGGAATTACTGTTGATGATTTACATTCCTTATTGTTGGTATCGTCATTAATATTATTATTATCACTATTATTATTATCATCATTATTACTGATATCATTATTATTATTATTGTTATTATTATTATCACTATCTCTACTATCATTATTGATTTTATTTTTAGATTTTCTTACATATTTTTTGACTAATTTGTCAGGATAATTATTAAGTTTCAAGGCTTCTTTTATGTGTATCATTTCTTGTTTTAAATTTTCCTTAGTACTACTTAGTTTTTGTGCTCTGTCACTTGAACGTTTTAACAATCCTATTTTTACTGACATAGGATGGAATGATCTGAAGTCCAAGTATCTGTTTGAATGTGTGGGTTTTCTGTAAACACTAGTGTCTAACTTCCCATCTTCTTTCCTTTTTACGTTGCAACATTGGAAGCTCCCCTTCCTGACTCTCCAACTCATAGGTGAATTGAATTGCCTCGACCTTCGAGTTGATGTGTTCGAAAGATCTATCTACATCTTGTGTTTCGAGTACAGTGAATGTATCATCTACATACCTCCACCATACTTTTGGGTTGGTGGTGAACGCTTCAATCACCTATTCATGAATATATCTGCTACAACTCCCCCAGTTTTTTGTATATTTTCTCTTGGAATTTAAATACTGTGGAAGTCAGGCATAGCTGCACTCCCAGCATTATGTACTCAAGTGGCACTTTCGTTCTGACTTTGAGTTCTTGGTCAGAAATGAGTTCGTTTCTGACTGCCTCCATAGCCACATTTATTGGTATACGTGTATGTAAACTGTCAATGTCAAAACTAACCATTTTTTCTTCACTATCTAATTTTAAATTATCTAATCTGTGTTTTAGTTCATAAGAATTAGTTAGTGTAGATTTCGAGTGGATTTTTAGAGGATTTAATACCATGGCTAAATATTTAGATAATTCATAAGTAGGCAAATTTCTAAAATCAACTATAGGTCTAATAGGGTATCCTGACTTATGAACTTTAACAACACCATACATCCTACTAGCGTTATTAGTTATGGGCATTAAATTAAACCACTTAGACTAACCTAGAAACGGCTTCATTCGGCGTTTAAGGTCCGCTGTGGGTTTCTTAACTTTATTCATAACTGTGTCTATTGATTTATTAATTTCCTCATGTGATCCTGTTTGTATGTGAGTATTTACCTTGTCCAAATAGTCTGATTTGTTTAATACTACTGTTGCATTTCCTTTCTCTGACTTTGTGATTAATATCTCCTTGTTGTTCTTAAGGTGTTTCAGGGCTTCTAACTCTGGTTTTGTTAGGTTAGGCTTTCCACATTTTTGTCGTTTTAATGTAAGTGCACATTGTGCACGTACTTCGTCAGCTATTGTTTTGTCTATCCTACTTAGTGCTATTTCTATTTTAGGAATGACATCCTCAGGTTTCAGCTTGTCTACTGCTACATTGAAATTTAGTCCCTTTTCTAAAACACTTATTTCCGTAGGACTTAATTTATGTGATGAGAGATTGATAACCCACTTTGATTGACCGATAGTCGTTGACTTTGGATTGTTGATTTCATCATTCTGAGATGAAGATTTCTCCTCTAATAATTTGTTGAACTTTTTGATTTGACTATTTTTTTTGACTTTTTGAAAGTTGCTGAGTTTGCATTACTGCAGGACTGTGTTATAAGATCATAATCTACGTCGGTGATTATTCCTTTTAGCTTTTGTTTTCATTGCTCAATTTCACATCTGATACGTTGCAACTTTTTAACGATTCTGTGGATCTCTTCTTTCAGGCATAATTTTTTAGGCTTTCTATTCTGTTTCTAACCCTGTCCATTGGAACTGGAGCTCGTAGACGTAGATATTTAGGAATGATTTCATTTTTTAAGCATCGAATGTTGAAAATACGATGATTTTCATATCTTGCTTCAGTTTGTGAAAGTCGAGTAAGTTTATTGATAAGTCTTTGTACAGAAAGACCATAAGTCATATTAATATACGTGTAAAACTTGGGCACTGTGGTATTAAGTAATTCCATATTAGTTTGTTTATTAGATATATCACACAGTGAAACAGTATTAGTATTTACTGGATGACGTTTCGAACAAAATTCATTGTTCATAATCATATCAATTGTAATCGAATCAACTGCAAATACATGTAATAGGAATGATTCATCACCTGTCCCTGATATATGGGAAATTCTACTACCCCTACGATGACAAATAGGAGAATACAAAGATAACTATAAAACTCAAGTTTCGAAGTCGTGTGATTAGAATTGATATGATTATGAACAATGAATTTTGTTCGAAACGTCATCCAGTGAATGCTAATACTGTTTCACTGTGTGATATATCTAATAAACAAACTAATATGGAATTACTTAATGCCACAGAGCCCAAGTTTTACACATATGTTGAAGGTTTCGGGGTTCAACTCTTCGCATTACATGAATTGCCGTTTGCAACTGTAGCTTACTCCCCTATTAGAAAATCTCAGGGGAATTTCATGGTATTTATAGAGATTTTAAAAAAGGGTGGGGGTGGCACTTGGAGTTATTTAGCGTTATTTTGGGATATTTGTGTTTTGGGGAGTGTGACGTATTCCCCCAAATTTTCACAATATATTACATTCGAATTACATCGAAATGCCCCATCCATAAACTTTTACTTGAATTCGCCTCTAGTAATTTCACAACTAGAGATGGTAGAGCTTCATTCATCAAAGTATTTCTTTCAATCAGACGTCTCATTATCTGTGGATGTGGAAATATCCTCAAAACTATCTCTCTGAACGCTGTATCGGAAAAATATTTTTTAAGACATTGTTAGGGAAGACAGAGTATGTTTCACCTTATTACGGGGAATTAAATGAATAGTGTCATGTTTCCGGTCGTTTATACTGTTTTAAGTTTGATCAATGATCACTGTCATTATTCCTTTATCTTCTCTTGTAAATATATCTGACGTCAGTGAAAAATTTTAAACATGCTTACTCCATGTGTACATTATTATCAAATTGATGGTGCCGGTTAACTGGAGTTCCTCATGTGCATAAATTGAGAACATATTATTATAAGATGCATTTCATTGTTACACTAGGGAATTGACTTCAAGCTTTATTTATTTTTCCAAGTATCTGTAATCCATCCAACGAATACTTGGGGATTTTTTGTTAATGCGAAGTCAATATCTCTATATTTGTTGATGGGTCCATTGAATCACTAGTTATCAAATTTTACCCATAAGATAAAGACAAAATGACAGCAACCATGTAATTAAACCGTAAATCATGTAATTTAAATAAGACTTACCTATGTCTATACAGTTGGTGTGTCCTACATGCACACACAAATGTGATGAAGATTCCTGGCCAACACCAACAGCAAGAACAACAGACAACAATCAGCCAGCATAAATGCGAGGAACCTGAAAGAAACAACCTCCTCCACCTACATGGGAAGCATCGTTTAGACTACAGGCGGAACTGAAGAGGATATCAAAGCCAGAATCGGAAAAGCAAGACAAGCTTTCACTTCTCTCAAGTATGTGTGGAGGTCAACAGCACTTAGAGTCAAAATTAAGATCCGGATTTTCATTACCAATGTGAAGCCATTGCTACTATACGGATCAGAGACTTGCACAGCGCGTCATAAAGAGCACCTCAAACAAACTTCAAACCTTCATAAACAGCTGCTAGTCACCATCCACCAATTTAATATTCATCGACAGCTGTCTTCGCTCAATACTCAAGATCAGATGGCCGGTCAGACAAGATCACCAACAGGAATCTCTGGGAGCGGACCAACCAGGAACCGATTGTGAAAGAAATATGAAGGAAAAAATGGAGATGGATTGACCATACGCTGAGGAAACCATCAAGTGACATCACTAGACAGGCCAGTGTCCGAGTGGAACCCGAAAGGGGAGCGGCGAGTTGTTCGTCAGTTAGAGGGTGACTTGGAGGAGGTCATGTGAAGGGGAGATGAAAGCATGTGGTCAGACTTGGAGCGGAGTGAAAAAGTTGGCAGAAAACCGAACGCAATGGAGACGCGTGGCTTAAGCCCTATGTTCCTCTAGGAATTAAAGCATATAATAATAATAATAAATAATAATAATACATAGATAGGAATCAATATGTACCTTATTATATTATCATTACTAACTATGCTTACTAATAGTATGTGTAATTTATCGAATTGATGATGCGTGTAAACTGGGGTCCCTCATGTACAAAACTGAGAATATATTATTATTATATCAGTTAGAGAACCAGTGGAAACCTGGAAGTACAGCACAACTTTTCCATCCTGGTTCTTGACGCACTTGCAGTACTCATCCACCACCAAGGTTCCAACTTAGGACCTTTGGGTTACATGACAGGCCCCTGGACTATTCAGCCACTTGGACCTAATCCAATAGCCATGAATTCTAACTTCTACCAACTCGTGTTTTTAGCATGCCCACCAGCCAGTATCACAGGAGAATACTTTTCCTCACAGCCCACCAGATAGGCTGTTATTTAGCGATTAAACTTCAAACAAATAAAATTCCTACAAACTAACTTCTGAAAATTAATCTGATGCTCAATTGTGACTACTCACCAAAGGGCTAGGTTGCTTGGAGTTCTAGTGGGAATTTGTAACCATTGAGGTTCGTCCGGTTGGCAGTTAGGAAAAATACCTGCCTTCGATACTGGCTGGTAGGCATGCTAAAATCACGAGTTGGTAGAAGTTAGAATTCATGGCTATTGGATAAGGTCCAAATGGCTGAACAGTCCGAGGGCCTGTCCTATAACTGCAAGGTCCTAAGTTGGAACCATGGTGGTGGGTGCGTACTGCAAGTGCGTCAAGAACCAGGATGAAACAGTTGTGCTGTATTTCCAGGTTTCCACTGGTTCACTAACTGATATTAATCAGTGATCAGACCTGAAGTAGGCCCCTACAAACTGATTCTTAAAAATTTATATTGTCTCTGCCTGAATTCTACCAATCAGCTTGGCAAGTTGATCAAAAATATGGATCACTTGCCATCACGTTGTGCTTCAGTGGTGAAATCTGTGACTGCGGTACTTGGTGCTACGGATTTCATTCTCGAAATGAACAAAAGTTCCTTAGAGGTTGCAGATACTCATGGATGACAAATGCCAGTACGTCTGAAACCGAGGTCCAGGGATTCCTGCTGATCGCCTTCAGGCGTATAACACTAAATTTTAAGCTTAGCAATATGAGCAAATAATGTGCATCCAGAAGTCTGAAGAAACAAATAACCCTTATCTTGATTGGACACTGGTAACTAGTGTGACGTGTCTAGTCCTCCTTTCTTTGGTGCAGACTGGATTCTACCAGTCAGGTCTGCAATGTGGCTACCATTCTGCTCTGACTGCAGGTGGCACTGGGTGATGTAGTTTCTGGTCTCAGTGGGGACCCGAGTCTCTTCAAGGTCGCAGATACGCCTTGCTGATGAGTACCGATTGGCACGAAACCCAGGTCCAAGGCTTTCTGCCGATTGCCACCAACTACCTAAATAACTCTTACAGTAGTCAAATCTAATTTACTCATGTTGAAATCTTTTCAGCGTAGAAGAGACCATGGCCGGCTGATTTGTAATCACCCGCACAACTTTTAATATTAAAAATAATAAATTCGCACATTAATGGAGTCCGTGTTTAACCTTGTTGCAATAATGCTGGATACCATCGACGCCAAAATAAGCATTGACGATGACGTGGTCGTGTGTTGACATGCAAATTTCCTGGTGCTGAACGAAAAACAATATAAGCCTTGGTACTGTTTAGAAATTCAGGCCATCCGATAAATGGATTTCTGCGTTTCTGTCTGTAGTTCGCCGGATTTTCAAAGTCGTCTTCAACAAGTTCTTCTGTATCCTCTGAATCTGCTTGATCAGTAACATGCCGTCCATCTGGAAGGATATTAGGATCTCTGTGAAAAGCAATGAAATAATTGTCACAGGGTTAGTTTTCACAAAGTCAATGATTTATTTAAAAAAAAAATGTAATATAAATCTCTTCAAGGGTATTCTGGTTTAGATTTCTGTGAGGTTTATAACTCATGAGCTAGTTAAAATTTCACTCTACAGTATTTGTTCTCCCTTTCTCCGTCCTTTTTCTTGCTTATTATACCGGCTTCTCCGACCGCCATTGACATTTTTGTGCATTATCTAAAATCGTCTCTTACTTAACAACCTGACAAAAATCAGTCGATGTCTACCGCATTATAATACTGGTGTTTAAAGATGACATCCTGCTAACTCACATCCACAATTCAATAGTGGCCACTTGCGTTTGCGCAACTTCTTTATTGGTCACTGCCTTTCTTATTTAAATGCCGAATTCTTATTCATTCCAAGTTAAACTTTAAGCACCATCAACTTCCAATTGGCGAACGACCTCGAATGGTCCAATGAGGTACATGAACGTGAGCTCAAGGTTGTTGAGCTCTTCATTCGTTTCATATGCGTTCTCTAACGAATTTACGTTTGCAGTTCGAGGAGGATGAGATTGTGCAGTATTGTCTGGATATGACACTCATGACACCTCCACATGAACAAATCCTCTTCTTCCTAAGCAACCTCATATCCAGACAATACTGCACAGTCTCATCCTCCTCGAACTGAAAACGTAAATTCGTTAGAGTACGCATATGAAACAAATGAAGAGCTCAACAACCTTGAGCTCACGTTCATGTACCTCATTGGACCACTCGAGGTCGTTCGCTGATTGGAAGTTGATGGTGCTTAAAGTTTAGCTTGGCCAATATAGCTTCACAGCTTCATAGACTGACTCATCCTCCATCCCTAAAACTATCGGTTCAAAATCCTCTACAGCTCATGATTTAGACGGACAGCTATTGACTTACGAAGCAGTTTCCATTCTTGCACCATTTGGTTTTGTTACGGAGGTTCACCTCTAGACTATTCATGGATACACAGCCATCACATGGGTTCGAACCCAGGACCTTCTGGTTACAAGGCTAGCGAGCTCGTAGGCCATTAAGCCACTGGGACCCAATCCAATGGCCAGCTCATGAATTCTAACTTCTGCCAATTCATGAAATAGCGTGACCTCTAGCTAATGTCTTCGGTGAGTATTTGTCGTCACACCCGACCTGCTGCACCTTACTGGTCACGGCTTCCCACTGGAACCCCAGGTAACTACCTACCTGAATAGTGTTGTTGATGCCTTATGTTCCATTCGGAACATAAGGGAATAATGATAATAATAATAATATAATATGAATGATATCACAATATAAACACTCCATTTGATACAGCTTACCCTGTACGTGCAAAATTAGCCCAATAAGTCATCATTATATCGCTAAGTTGTCGTTCTTCATCAGTGAATCGATAAAACGTTGCTTGAAATTGTGGACTAAATGGTATACCAAATATATATTCAATTTCATAACCATGCATAGTACCAGTCCATTTAGGCATTGGCAGTGAAGCTGTTCTATGCTGAAATTCATAGAAATACACTGGTAAAGTACTCGAGCGACGTCGACCAGGCGTACGATGTTCATTGGTAACTGCACTTGCCATATTGATAGTTGGACACTTGAAACTTCTATCACTGCTGATTTCTTCCAACCTTTCTGTCCAACTTTCTAAGGTGGGCTGAATTACCACGACAAAAAAAACGTAGTGTAATTTTTGTAACAACACAAAAATAAGTTTACATGAGACAAATAAAACGTTAAAAAAATACAAAAAGGATGCTTGAGCTTAGACGGTTAGCTCTAAAGTACAATGATCCAAAAACAAATGAACGTAATGACGTTGATCGACCAATCAGATGAGTCCGTTTTAAATGCGCGTGATTTAAAAAAACCTTATAGAGACATTGAAGTCAGTGATTAAAAAATAGTTAAGTGGGGTAACTTTCTCTTGAGTGTCCCAAGAAAACATCTTTTTTATTTATTGGAGTCTTAAGGGATAGTTCAAACTTATTTCTGTACAATATTTCATTCAAGTAACTGTATGTCATGCCGTTTCCTGATCTGTTCACTGCTCTGCAGCATCCACGAACCTAAAAACGGTACGACATTCCTTTCTACACAGATTTTTAATAACAGCAGGCCGAACACCTGTACACATATCCATCAACAGCGCTGGATTACTTCTTCACACCTAGAGGCCTCTTATTAACCTATAACCCGTACAGTACTCAAATACTACCTATTGATAGAATTTGCAACGCAATTCCTTTACTCCGTCTACATTTCCGCCTATCTATCTACAGACTCATCTGATTGGTTACTCAAGGTCATTGCGTCCGTATATTAGGTAGTTTCATTTTAGATTGCTATGTTTTAGAGTTACCCTTAGACGATTTTATTTACCCAAAATATGCTCATCTTTTCAAGGAAATAAGGACAAAAAGTTTAGCGAAGAGACTGCTAATGATTTCATTCAATCAACTGTGGAATCATAATTATATATATATATATATATATATATATATATATATACTCCCTCGTTATCAATGGTTCTCTGTCTGATATGAATCCGTGATCAACTCTTAAAAATAAATCTAATCCTTACAAACCAACTCATAAAATATTAATATTACAAATTTCACTGACTGACAAGTTGGTTTCATTTGGCAGTTTATATCACAAAGAACTCAGTCATTTTATTTATTCATGTTATTATTACTACTCCTTTGAGTTCCAAATGGAACATAGTGCATCTCGCCTTCACCACGTTCCCTGTAGTCTTCTTTGAGTGGCTACACTATCTCCTCTTCACATGATTTCTTCCATGCCACTCTCGGGTGCAAGTATTTTGTATTCTAGTTTCCCTCAGTGGTCTTCTCAGTGTGTATTCAGTTCACCTCTACTTCCTCCGGGCAAATTTCTTGATTCTTGGTTGATGCATTACCATAGTTCCTTTCACGCCAGCCATCTGATCTTCAGTGTTAGGTAAAGGCAGATGTTGATGAAATTAGGCAGTTTCTGGAAATACTTTGCATTACGTGTTAAGTTTGTGAAGCCCAAAAAATCGCTTATATTGTAACAACAGAAGACAAGGGCCGGCAGCAGATCGTTTTATTACGGAAATCAACACGTATTTATATATATTTCCTGCACATTATTATAGCTTATGCAAGTAGACAAACGCAGTCTTCTGATTGGTTGTTTTCGAGTTTCTCCGAGAGTGAAGCCAACTATCTGCGAATCATATTTGCCCACGTTTAAGTCTACTGTGATTGGTTGTTGAGTCAGCCTTGTTCATATTTTCTCACGGCCAATATTAGTGACCTAGACATTGACGTAGATTAATGTCTACCAATTGGCTAGCAGCCTGCCCTCACCACAATATGACCTTAGCGTTTAAAAATTTGAATCTTGTTCTTTATGCTGGGTATAGCAGATGTCTAAACTGACTTCATAGTAATGAGGGTCTGTCTCGCTTTCCAATCCTCTGCCTCTGATGTTCCCTAATTCACTGTATTATAAATAATCTGTTCTTTGATTGGACACTAGTAACTAATGTGATGTTATGGTGAGATGTTATGTCCACCAAAACTGGTGGACAGTGATTTACGTCAATGTTTATGTCCCAAATATTGGTCTTGAGAAACATGAGAACAAAGACTTTGCGTAAGCAGATACGGTTAACATATAGATGATTTGACATTCAAGAAACAGCCACAAAGAGATGAAAGGTTGACTTTCTGTGAGAAACAACCAATCAGAGGACCTGTGTTTCTCTGCTAACAATAATCTACAATAATGTACATGAAAATCTATAAATATGTGTTGATTTCCTTAATAAAGGATCTGTTGCCTGACCCTTGTCTTCTGTTGTTACAATGTGACTAGTCTTTTCTTTGGTACAGACTGAACTCTATCAGCCAGTCAGGTTTGCAATGTGACCACCATTCTAGGTAGCTTGCCATCATGATGCACATTGATTTGATGATATTAAATGTTTGGAGGCTATCGGAAAACCTGACTGGTAGAATTCAGTCTGTTCCAAAGAAAAGACTACACACATCACACTAGTTACTAGTGTCCTACAGGAGGTCAACTATGAGTCCGAATAGCTCAGCGGTAACGTCTCTGACTACAGCACTCACCGAGTGACGCGGGTTTGAATCTCAGATACGCCTTGCTGACTGGTGAGTGTCAACTAGCACGAAACCTAAGTCACGCAAGGCTTCCTGCCGATTGCCTTTAACCATCTCATATCATTAAATAATCTATTCATTTGTAATTCAGTGCCATCGTTTAAAAGTGCCAAAAGACTGAAGAATTGATAGTCGGTCAGTAAAGATAAGCAAATGACATATCACTCTGTCTGGTAGCAAACGAGGCAACAACCTACTGACTAAGGATGATACAGAAGTAAATTTAAATAGATTGAACGTATGATGAAGATATGCTGAAGCGATACTACACGCCAGGCTCTGAGGTGGGTTGGGCTTTTAGTCTGAGGGTGACATGAGTGAGATAATATAAAAGGGAGATGAAAGTATGTGAGCAGTTGAGGAGCCAGCTGAAAGTGATGACAGAATAAAAAGGAGGAGTTAATGAACAAAAAATCGTTTAAAAGTGACCCATGTCTCTATCAACCTCATTCAACACAGCTGTATGATGACAATGACACATGTCAGATGATACCTCAAAACCTCAAAGTGAAAGAAGCCTTTGAAGTGAATACAGGAGTAATACAGGACTGCCTGCTATCACCGGATTATGCATGAGACTGTGCATTGGAAGTGAGAAGACAGACATATGCTGGACCATCAATAAGAAGACTCTGTAAGATCTGGATTTCGCAGATAATTTATGTTTAATGTCATGCATACTCGAAGATTTGTAGGCGATAGCTAACAAAATGGCTGAAGAAGCAGGCAGTGAAGATTAGATACTAGGTGAGCGTAGGGAAATCGGAGGAATCGAAGATAACTAACTAACCAACAGCTTCATTCACACTTATCTAGGAAAGATTATTTCAAATATAAAGGGGAATGGATATAGATTTCAAAGACAGCCAGACTCGGAAAGGCAAGAAACACCTTCATAAATCTGAAACCAGTCTGGAAATCTTCTCAGCAGCCTAAGGAAGAAGATTCGAGTTTTCAACATAAATGTGAAGTTACTCAGTCAGTGTTTTTATTTGGGTCAAAAACTTGGCCAGCGTGTCATGGAAAGGATTTCCAACAGAACACCTTAGACTTTCATCATCAACAGCTGACCCCTTCTCTGGCTGGCTCAATAATGAAGATCAAAATGGAAAGTCAGAAAGAATTACCAATAAGAAACTCTGCAGTGGAACAAACCAATCAGGAGCCGATTGCTCAATAGATATGTAGAAGAAAATGGAAATGGATCGAGCATATATTGAGGAAACTGCCAAACGACATCGTGCGCAACGCAAGCCGTCGCTCCAGTGGAATCCGAATGGGAAGTGACGAGAGGGTCGTCGGTGCGAGGGTGACATGGAGATATGCCCCTGTTGAAGCCTTATGTTCCACTGGGAAATCAAAGGAACAATAGAGTGATAATAATAATAGTAATAATAAATATAACAACTTACTAAATTAAAAGTCAATCTGAACGAAGAATATTCTTTTCAATAATTTCTCCTCTTCAGATTCTTACAATTATAAAATATAATATTTCTGGTCGTTACAATAAAGATAGTCAGGTATGAGGCGGATACATTTTTTAACGTAGAATAACAGATTATATTTCTAGCAAAACTAGAAAATAGTCCGTTGAAAGAGGAAATGGCGAAAATGGAAATGTATTGTCGTTACATGGATGACACTTTTGTAGTGTACGATGAAGGGTTAAATAGTGATTTGATTTTGAACAACTTCAATAATACTCATCCAGCGGTCCATTTCACCTACGAAGGAGAATACAACGACTCTTTACACTTCCTCGACGTCCTACTAACGAGAAGAGAGGATGGTTTCGTCAAAAGAACCATATTTAGAAAGCTAGAGACCAAAGCTCAGTATACACATTTCCTTAGCTTCGTACCGATGAAATACAAACGTAATCTAACTAGGTGCTTAGCATTTAGAGCGAGGTTTATTTGTTCCGAAGACTGCATAGAGAAGGAACTCTAGGCTATTCGAGACATTCTAAGCGAGAACGGATATCCAGATGACTTCATTAAAGCCGACATAGGTTATAATAGTCGTAAACATGAACCCGCAACTGTAGAGAAAAAGCCTTTGTTTCTACGTCTCCAGTTCGAGGGAGATACTCTTGCGGAGATTCTATCCCAACGTATAACCAGGGCGATCAAGAAAACTTTCTACTCTGCACGTTTGTGTCTATCCTTCACTAGCCGTCCAATGTCCACCCAGCAACTCAAAGATGTCTTACCTAACCTTAGCTCTTCTTTATGCATATACCACTTCAACTGTTCCTGTGGTTCAAGTTATATAGGGCGCACGATTAGGCAGGTTTGTCTACGGTTTCGAGAACAATTACCAGCTTGGTTCAGCAGGGGGAAATTAAGTGCATAAAAAGCTCGATCGTGTCACACTTGGTCGATACTGGACATCGCATCGATGTCAACACAGCTTTCAGGGTTATATACTTAATTCCGAAGTCGTTTTCACGTACAGTTCGCTTACGTCTACTACACATAGTTGAAGCTGTTGCAATAAGATCGACTAAACCGGAACTTTGTATCCAAAAAGAACACGCCCAGATGCTGTTCCTACCGTGGCAAAACTTGGATTGATGATTCTTCTTGTCACCAAGAGTGCTCCTTCCCCTTAACCCTCTTGGTTTTTTCTTTTTTTACTTTGCTTATTATTATAAATATTATTATTACGGTTATTATTATTATTCCTCATAATTTATGCCATTTATGCAAACATTCTCCCAATACAATAGAATTTTTCACTTATACGGACTTATTATTAGTGAAAACAAAACAAGTAGATCAGCGAAGAGTCTCTTTTCGGCGAATTCATTTTCTTAGCTGTACAATCGCAAATATACATGCATTGTTTTGTATGTATGTGTACATTAAGTTTGTCAAACAAAGTTACAATTGGTTAAGGTTACTTTTAACTAAACAAGTGAAGATTGACAATACAAGTCAAGAAAATTAAGTGTTAGTGAAACTAGGGTAGTAACAAAGGTGATGAGTTGTCACAAACAGTTGTAATAATAATAGTGAGTTTTACTCAGGATGCACATAGAAACAAAGTAGATAATACGAAACTATGTAAGAGATTTAAGTGAATACAAGAATTATAAGCAATTAAGGAACAGGCAAAGAAACAAAATTAAGTCATCAAAATAAAAATAAAAGCTCAAAACAAATCAAAACATTGTTACCATGAGAGTAGAAGTGGTTGAGTAATCTTCTTTTGTATGCACAGCTCCGGTTTTTCCATGTGAATGGCCAGAGCTTCAGCGATGCAAAGGAGACGAAACCGTATTGCCTTTGATATGTTATTCTTGACTCTGTAGATTACTTTGAAGGAGGCGTTCGTTGAAATGCAATGATCAGTGTTGACCAGGTGTTCAATTATCGCACTCCTTATTGCACCAGTATTGCCTTTTCGCAACCATGCTGGATAATGTTCTTGAATTCTCTTGGACAGGATGCGCGTCGAACGACCGATGTACCTGGCTCCACAGCAGCAGGTGAACTGGTATATGCACATAGAAGTGGCCAGATGCGGGATCTTGTCCTTGAGGCTTCTGCAGATCAGTGGGCGACTGGAGAACACTATTCGTAGCGTTGCTGCAAAGAACGTTCTTCTCAGAGATGATGTGATCCTTCTCTTGAGAATATCGCTTGCTAAATCTCCCTTGAAATCCAAATTCATGTAGATTTTCTTTTTAGGCGCAGTTAAAGTTTCGTTTTTCCGAATTATTGGTTTCATATTTTTGTCGATAAATCTTATTGGGTATCCATTTTGGATGAATATTTCTCTCAGAATATCTAATTCTGTTTCCAGAACGTCGGGACTACAGATGCGTCGGATGCGGGTAGCAAGTGATTTAATTAAGTTTCGCTTTTGTTGAATGGGCACCCAGCTATAGAAGCTTGTTAGTTGACCATTCCACGTAGGTTTTCTATGGATTGATCTTCTTAGGCTCCCATCAGCTCTTCTTGTCAGTTCCACATCAAGAAACGGAATTTTTGACTCGTTTTCCATTTCAAGAGTGAATTTTATTGCTGGATGGCAATTGTTAAATGTCTTCAGCAGCAGATTGGGGTCGTTGTTGTTGTCACAAATAATGAAAATGTCATCCACGTATCTTTTATACAGTCGCAAATTGTCGATGCTTGGCACGAAGCAATCTGATAGTAGTGGACCCAACGGAGATCCCATTGCAATACCATCCTTTTGTCTGTAGATGGTGTCGTTGAATGTGAACTGGACGTTCAGAGTGCATCTCAATAATAGTTCTTTCAAGTATGTTGTCGGTATTCCAATATCGAGGTGGTTGTCATCTATATATCTGCATATGAAGCAGACCGTTTCTGTGAGTGGGACATTGGTGAAAAGTGACTCGATGTCGAAGGACAGCATAATTTTGTTAGATACATTCGTGTCTTGTATGCACTCGATGAACTGGAAGGTGTCACGGAGCGAGTACGTACATAATTGCTTCCTTACAGGTTCCAGAATATCTGCTAGCCATTGTGCAATAGAGTGGTAAGGGGAACCTGACATATCCAGAATTGGACGAAGTGGGAGACCAACCTTGTGTACCTTTGGTAGACCATAAAGTCTTGGTATTATTGAACCTGTTGGCCGGATCTGATCGTAGATATCCCCACTGATTAGTTGACTGGCCTTCATTCTCTTCAAGACATCTGTGAGCTGCTTCTCAATCTGTTCCGTCTTGTTTCTTTCATTGGAAGGTTGGGAAAATTTGTCTTCATTCGACAGTATATCGTTCATTTTCTCGATGTAGTCTCTTCGATTCAGAAGCACTACACCCGCACCCTTGTCGGGTCGAGTTATAAGTAGATCTTTGTTATCTCTCAACTGTTTTAATTCCTCTCGGTGCCGCTTCGTTAGGTGGTTGCGGACTTTTGATTTTGAATTCAAGTATTGGTGGCAGCAGTCCATGATTGTTGACTTGAATCTCTGTAATTCGTCTTCAGAAGTTGGGCTGAGATCGTGCGTTTGGCTGATTAGATTTTCAAACTGGACCTGAGTATGGAGTTTGTCGGAGTTGAAATTTATATCGCAGAATTTAGGGCCCAGAGATAGGACTTCCAGTTGCACGTCGGTTAAATGTACTGAGGAATAATTGAACACAAACTTCGTGGGTTCGTCAGGAAATTTGCCTTGAGGTTTCATCTGCTTAAGGCTGTTGTTGAGCTGGGTTACGACAGACTGCGACCGTTTATTCGCAACCAAGTCGATATATTCGGTGAATCTTTGACGTTCATCCGAAGTCAATTCGTATAAGGCAGAGGACCTCTGATATTATTTGTTTTCTTAATATATGCCTGTTTCATTTAACATATTCGTTATCTCATTATGAACCTCTGATTGCAGTCTTACTATATCCTGTTTAAGATAGACCACTTTGTAGAAGCCACTCACCTGACACCTTTTATAACCTTGAACTGATTTGTTAATTTTCCTACCCCACAGTCTACAATTCTATTATGATAAATCACCACCACCATTGTCTCCCGTTTTACAATATTTTCTAATTGATTTCAGCCTAGCACGTTTGTCACAGAAATACAACTATTTATCTTGACACCCCATAACTAATCTGTTATTCTACGTTAAAAATGTATCCCCCGCCGCTTAAATGGCCTTTATTGTAACGACCACAAATATTATATTTTATAATCGTAAGAATCTAAAGAGAAATTATTGAAAAGAATATTCTTCGTTCAGATTGACTTTTAATTCATAATATGGGAAATTTTTCACACTATCAAAACTTACTAAATGTTCATAAGTTTGATATTCGAAATCTGTATACCGAACCAGTGGTTCAGTGAATTCCGGTCTATCATCTTCATCTAAATCCAACACTTGTCGCAGACATCTAATATAATCCATACGATTTGTTATTGGTAAATGAGTGATATTATTCATCCATTTTGCATTACTAACAAATGCATACAATAAAAAGTAACTGCCTTCATTTTTATTTATACCGAACATCAATGCACCAGATGGTTTAAGATGACGCAACTGACGAAATGATTGACTATTTTCATATGGGAAAAAATCATTATCCAATACAGGAGGGAATGGTACAGAGAAATAACTGCCAGGATTGTACATTGTATCATGAGCGTCTAAAATTTCTTTAATTGATTTTGTACGTAGACAGTTGACTTGATCATTCAGTGATCTATCACCACAGGCAAGAATTTTCGCCAGTCTATGCGATAAGGATTAAAGAAAAAAGGAATAAACAATTGTAAGTGAAATTTAATTGACGGATGGTGACTAGCAGTGGTGGAATCCAGGAAAACGCGAATTTCGTCCTATTTGGGATTCGTCATCTGCTGAATGTACCTGCATTCCCCAGTGAGTGAGTGAGTGATGGTGTCCCCATCGAGACTCGAACACAGTGCCCATAGTTCTAAACGCCAAAGCGTTATCCACTAGACCACTTTGGCCACGAGCACTCTGGTCCAATCAGTCAACGGGAAAATCTAAAATTCAATTGAAATTTATTAAAAAAACAACAGTCTGGAAATGTTTATAATTAATGCCACACTATATTTGATCGTGGAGTCTATGACGTGTGTTTTGGCTTTTCCGAGAACATTTCTACATTCTGGGATCGATTACTTCTGAAGTGAGAGTGTTATTCAATAAACTATTGAGTTATGGAAGCGATCTCATGCTTTTCTGTTTAGAACCAATCATAATGCATTGTTATTTTCGATTTAGTTGTGTTCTCTGAGCTGGATGGATGGTTTACTTGCTAAGCTTTCATTGCCTTACCATTCACTAGGCAACATCTTCAGAGAATGCTTCAGTTAGTTGAAGTTAGCTTTTGAATTTCTCCATAAGTTTACTAGTCATCTCTCCTGGTGACTGACCTTGAACGTCGTCACATTCTGTGGCCTAGTTTTGGTATTGGTGTTGATTGTTTCCTAAACCTGAAGTGTATGCGATTTTTCTCTTATTGATTGGTAAATTTTATTTATGTCAATGTGCCTGTTAATTGCCAATCCATTGGAATACCAGGCTTTCAAAAATTCTCTGAAGTTTTTGCTGTTCTCTCTGCCCAATTAATTTCGAGATGTCTGTACCCACAGAAACACGGATGCGTTCACTTGGTAAGTTATGTTTAGAACAAATTGCCTGATTGGCATTCGATGGCTAGTAGTCACTGACTAAATTGTACTACAAACTTGATCGAAAAAAGATTTCCACAGCTGTTGAAACATCCGTGCCTTCTCTGTAAATATCAAAAATGAAACAACTATTGAAGATATACAATTGGTGGATGGTGGCTAGCAGTGGAATCCAGCCAGGATGCACATTTCGTCCTAATTGGGACTCGTCAGCTGGATGTACCTGCATTTCTCAGTGAGTGATGATGTTCCCACTGAGGCTCGAACCCAGTGCCCATAGTTTCAAACGCCAAAGCGTTATCCACTAGACCACTTGGGCCACGAGAGCCACCTCTTGTGCAACAGGTCATATATTAATTATTGAATTGAATTTTTGATTTTCCCGTCGATTGATTGGACCGAAGTGTTCGGTCTCAGGTTGACATGTCGGCTTCTTGTGCAGATGCTTCGACGATGTCTGGGGATTTGATTTGTATACAATTGGTGGGTGGTGGCTAGCAGTGGAATTCAGGATGCGCATTTCGTCCTATTTTGGACTCGTCAGCTGGATGTACCTGCATTTCTCAGTGAGTGATGATGTTCCCACCGAGGCTCGAACCCAGTGCCCATAGTTTCAAACGCCAAAGCGTTATCCACTAAACCACTTGGGCCACGATTGTATACAATTGTATACAAATCAAATCCCCAGACATCGTCGAAGCATCTGCACAAGAAGCCGACATGTCAACCTGAGACCGAACACTTCGGTCCAATCAATCGACGGGAAAATCAAAAATTCAACTCAATAACTATTGAAGATGTTGGTCTGTATAGCAGTCCTATGTGAGTCAGATAATCACAGGCGCAGAAAGCCCAATTAATAGGTCCTCAGCTGACTTGTTTCGAGTTCTTTTTATCAAGCCTCTTCACTGCATATATTACTATTTTCTAGTGTTCCTGGTAGCACATAGGGGGCTTCAACAACACATCTACACTTTGTTCTGTTTTCTGTCATCCTTTTCAGCTGGGTCCATGATTGACGAAAATTCTCTCATCTCTTTCTCGCCACACGATCTCCTCCATGTCACCCTATGACACACATCTCAATCGTCACTTTCCATTTGAACTCCACTCAAACATTGGCCTGCATTGCGTGCGATGTCATTCGGCAATCTCTTCAATCTATGCCCGATCCATACATCTCCACTTTCACCTACATATTTGTTGAGAGGTCACCTCATGGTTGGTTTGTTCCCAGTAAGTCAGAGTTTCTTGTTGCTAATTCTTTCTGGTCGGCTATTTGATCTTCAGTATGGAGCCAGCTAGTGAAGGAGGCAGCTGTTGATGAAAGTCTGCAACAGGCTGGTTGGAAATCCTTTTAGTGATAAACTCGTCAAGTTTCTGAACGGAATAGAATCACACTGACCGACTTCATCACATTGGTTCTAAAAATGCGAATCTTGTTACTTATACTGCGGTGCGGGGGAGTGCAGAATATTACCAAACTGGTTTCAGACTGATGAAGGTGTATCTTGCCTTTCTGATTCTGACTGGCTTTGACATCTTTCAAGTGTTGGTTTGTAGGGATTTGATTGGTTTCAGGATTTCATCATGAGAACCATTGGAAAACCTGGGAGTACTGGACAGCTGTTTCGTCCTAGTTTGGGACTATTCAGCAGTACGCACCCACCGGGATTCGAACCCAGGACCTTCCGGTTAGAAGGCGAGCTTGTATACCATTAAGCCACTGGGACCCGATCCAATGGTCCTTGAATTCTAACTTCTGCCAATTCACGACATAGCGCGACCGCTAGCCAATGTCTTCGGCTAGTATATGTCCACACACCCGACCATCTTTGTCTGTTCCGTGTGACTGTAGTTGAAACGATGCTTCCTGGTCAGATAAATGAAGGAAGCGACCTCTGTTAAATCTCTCTCGTTGATAGTGATTGGTGCTGGTTGTTGTTGCTGCTGCAGCTGGTCGGTTACCTTCATCATCGCAGTCTTCTCTATGTTCACATAGAGTTCCGTTTTTGCTGCCTCTCCTGCCAGTTTACTGATTTTTGCTTGAAAGTCTTCGAGTTTCTTTGACATTAGACATATATTATCCACGCTCGAAATCTAGATCTTTTAAAGTGTTCTTATCGGTCGTCTAGCATATTCCTGACTCCTCGCCCAAGATAGTCTGATGCATAATCCAGTCCACCACAGTTAAGAATATCATCGGTGATAATATGCAGCCAGCCAGCCTTGTCTTACTCCTGTATGTACTTCGAATGCCTTACTAAGTTCTCCATTGTAAATCACTTGACACGTCACATTGTCATATAGCCAGCTGTTGAAAGAGGTTGACGAAGACTTAATGTACGCCGTAGTGTTAAGGAGCAGTTTCCAAATTACTTTTCGGTCTACGCTGTCTGTCGATAGCCAGCGTATGTAGTACAACTAATAATTATCAGTATTGTTTAAGAATTTGTCAATAGGCTACACAGTTTATTCTGTTTAATCATAGTCTTAAAAGACCTTATGAAATATGCCTAATATTTCAGTAACAGTTAGATGTTTATTTATTGTTCATGTTGAAATGAAATTCTTAGATTTCTGTTTTTACAACTGAAATCAGATTGGACTATGAAGTAGGATATTCAGGCCATGACTTCCAAATCAATTTGGATGGCGTTTACATTGCATTATATGAATTTAGCAAATTGGGGGGGGGGAATTAAATAACAGTGAAGCAGTGTAATACGCCCCCATCGATTGATATAAGAGTGAAACCTGTGCACTGTGGTCGAATATAAATCCATTGTGGGTAAAATTTTATTTTGATAAAGTTTCACACAGTGTTAAACAGCAATATTTACTGATGAATAAGCTAACTACTTCATATGAAATAAAAAAGAAACTAAATGACATTTAATTAGGGATTAATGAAATAACGGTTAGTTTTGATACTACTATTATTCACACTAATGTACCAATCAATATGGTACCAGAAGCAGTTAAAAGGGAACTAACTAGTGATCCTGAAATTACTCATAGTGTAACAACAGAAGACAAGGGCCGGCAGCAGATCGTTTTATTACGGAAATCAACACGTATTTATATATATATTACAGCTTATGCAAGTAGACAAACGCAGTCTTCTGATTGGTTGTTTTCGAGTTTCTCTGAGAGTGAAGCCAACTATCTGCGAATCATATTTGCCCACGTTTAAGTCTACTGTGATTGGTTGTTGAGTCAGACTTGTTCATATTTTCTCACGGCCAATATTAGTGACCTAGACATTGACGTAGATTAATGTCTACCAATTGACTAGCAGTCTGCTCTCACCACAATAGGACAAAAGTGCTCATTACGCTATCTCCCGTCTACTATCTTTAAATTCCAAGGCAACATAGATAGAAAAACAGGAGGTGTATCAATTGGATTGGATCACCAATATCGCCTATCGTAGCAGATATCTTTAGTGGTAGCTAGGAAAATACTGCTCTCAAAACATTCAATCCTATTTTTTAATTTTCCCCAAAATCCTTCTATAGAATTCATGTGTATCCCTGTGATGGGATCCAAAATATCACTGGAATTGTTCACTTTCTGATGAATATATCCAAGAGATGACAGCGAGTTATAACCTTTCCATTCAACACTAAGTATTATGAATCTCTGTTTCACAAGTTGAGTGATAATTGGTACAAATGTAGTATACTTTCTGTCTAGTATTCTCTCCACAAATCCTCGCTGCGGCACTCTGACACATAGTCCCATTAGTTTTTGTTTTCCTTTCTCCGTTACTATTACACTGTTATTCTCATCTTCTATCACATATCAACTTTATATTTCATATCCTGTGGTGCATTGTTTGAAATGTAATACTCTACACTGTTTTTTTATTTTTATTTATTTTATTTATTTATTATTATTTTATCTCTTGATTTTAAAAATCTTATATAATTTATGAGGTAATTAGATGCAATATACTGTAATGGACGCTGAAAATTCCATACCTGTACCACAAATACCGTTTGGAATAAAGCTGTTAATATTATTATTATTTCCGGAGGGAGGTGTCATATAAATCGATCACCCAAATATTGTTGGCTCGCTCACGACCACGGTTGTATTTTTTCTTCAGTAACACAGTCTTGTCCACGTGTACGACGACACCTCCTCCTAATAACGAAATAATTCTCTCCATTTTCCATGATGAGACTTCTCTGCAGTACTGAACTGTTGATACGAGGCTATTTTTGGTTTCAGCAGCTGCGCATTTCACAGGCTGTTTTAAAACTCAGTAGTTCCAAACAGTTCACAAAATCCGGGTTAGGGAGAGATTTGACCTAGCAAAAATTGTTCCTACGAAATATTAAAATCACCAGCTTACCCTCCCTAATACTAACTGGTCTCAAACAAATTGCACAACGATGGACATATGTCTATCAATCGACCTGCCAAAGCTTTTTAAACTCATGACACCACCACATGAACAAATCCTCTCCTTCCTAAGCAACCCCAAATCCAGGCAATATTGCAAAATCTTATCCTGCTCGAAGTGTAAGCGTAAGTTCGTTAGAGCTGCCATTTGATACGGATTAAGCGCTATACAACCTTGAACTCATGTGCATTAACCTCATTGGTCCATTTGAGGTCGTTTGCTGATTGGTAGTTAGTGGTGGTTAAAGTTTAACTTGACCGGTCAGGTCAACTTTGAGCTCAGAAAGGTCAGAGTAATAACCTCTCTGTTTGCAACACTGGGTGATGCCAGTTCGAATATATGAGAATACATATATATATTTCTTCAAAGCTGCAGATAAGTCTTGCTGACAAGTGTCAACAAACACGGAACATGAATCGCAGGCTTCCTATCGACTGCGGTTGTGATTAACTGGTGTGATCACTCTGCAATCAAGTGCATCACAAAGTAATTCATGTATATATATATATTTACCCAACATTAATAAATCGATAATTAGAAAAAAGTATTTTCAAACTTAAATGATCTTTGATTACATACTTTTGTGTTTGATTAAATGATATTTCTTTAGTTGCTAAACCCCAATTACTAAAGATTGAACCAGATTGCATAATTGCATTCGTAAAATATGAATGTGACCATGGACTGACAACATGTGTACTAACACTGACAGCACCAGCTGATTCACCGAATAGTGTAATACGATATGGATCACCACCGAAATATTCAATATTATCTTTGACCCATTTCATTGCTAAACGCTGATCCCATAGACCCATATTACCTGGTGCCTACAAAAATAAATTGAAAATCAAGAAATATAACAAAATTTAATTCCGATAATATATTATACCAGTAATGGTAATATTATTATTAATAATAATTACTTGTGGCGTGTACTACTGGCAAGACTTTGAAAGTAGTGTATTCTGCATGATTTCCTCTACAAAACTGAATTGTGGAGCGACGCACTAGATTACATCAATCACTTGATGCTGCTACCTGCAGCTTTCGAAGAGGGAGACATTGGGAGCCACCTGCATTACTTCGAAGCCGTTGATAAGTTGTTCAGCCTGTAGGATTTCACGGCAAAGGCCGTGGGCCTGAAGACACTGCCAATAGGTCGAACAAAACCTGCTTATGAGAGTTCATGAGGATCAGTCATACAGAGTTCACTGGAGAAGGCCGTTCAACGGCCGATTTCAGAGTTTGGCAAACCAACAGACCAACAGGAGGCATTGCACGAAGTTATAAGTCTAAAGCTTGATGCAATTAGAGATCCATTAGTTTTGGCAGTAAGGCTGACAAATCTTCTGCAACCTGCGTAACTAATCCTCAACGAGGATTCATACCGCAGCTGCTAGCTTCTTAGTCTGTGGGGTGTGAATGCATCCTGAAATGTAATAACTGATGAGTTTTAGAGCCACATCAGTGATCAGAGAATGTCAAGAAGCCTTCAAGGTGTGACAGCAGAGCAAAGAGGCATCAGCAATCAGACCAGGAGTGAAGCAGACTGAAAAATGTTTCACTTGTGCAAGTACACTGCACTGATAAACAGAAGCAAAAGTTTTAAACGATATTCTCTTATCAGTAGCACATGCCACATCTTTCGTGAAACACAATTCAATGCATGTAGAATTCCACAATAGACTTGAAATTATAAACACCCTTGAGATATCATAATTGAAATTTAGTGGACACTGACTACTGATTAATGTATAAGTAGTTTGAGCCATTTACCATAATTATTAATGAAAATTGGACCAACCTATTCACCTGTCACTGATAAATTAGAATTGACTCATTTCAGGTAACCATTTTGTTGGAATTGTATAATCAAAAGTCATATGTTGAGAGCACCTAAAGCTGACTGTTTTTCACACATTCATATCAATTATTAATAACTATTGCATACTGAAATGAGATTAGAGTTGGAGTCACCAAGTTACATAGAGATTTAGGATAACTCTTGCCTTTCTCTAAGCTATGACGGAATTATTTCTGGTAGAATGATGCATCTGCTCCACGTAACATGATGGGCTGAACATGGATTTTTAATTTGCACAGTTTGACGTGAAATTTCACCATAGTTCCCTATTATTATTATTGCTCCCTTGGGTTCCTAGTGGAACATAGGGCTTCAACTGAACGTCTCCATTTGCTTTTTTCTTCTGCTGTACTTTTCATCTGCATCCATCTCAGTCCATACTCTTTCAACTCCTCTTCACACGATCTCCTCCATGTCACCCCTGCACCAACGACTCACTCACCGCTTGCTTCCGTTTTGGGTTCCACTCGAAGGCTTGACACGCGATGTCACCCAGCGAGTGTCCGATCCATCTCCACTTTCTCCTGCATATGTGTTGGGTGATTGATTCTTGTTTTGTTTCTTCACATAGTTTCTTGTTGGTGATTCTTTCCGGCCCGGCCATCTGATCTTTAGTAGAGATCCAGCGAAGACAGTTAGCCGTTGATAAAGGTCTGCAATAGTCTGTTGGAAATATTCTTTGTGACCCACCCGCCCGCCAAGTTTCGGATCCGTATAGGAGAACTGATTGACTTGACGTTTGTATTGAAAATCCGAATTTCGTTGTTGAATACCAAAATCATCTTAACCACGGATTCTCTCTTTTGGAGTCGAGAAGATCATTTATGTATCTTATATGAATCAGCTAAGAGAATTAAATCATCTGAAACCATACAGCTTCTGGTTAGCGACTTTGGAGAATTCATAGTGTATTAGAGCAAATTCAGTCTGGCTAGCAAACACTACTTGTCTGCATGGGTGACATCCAACTACTCATTTCGGCCAGTCAGTAGTATATGATATTATACACTTATGCAAAATGTTGTACAACAAACAAAATTTCTAGAGGACACAGCTGAACAACTTCAAAGACTATTTACTTCATATAATAGTAAAGTCTATTTCAAGCCGTCTAATTCTCTAGAGAAAGCTTTGTTGGATGTTAAAGAAATGGTTCGCAAAATGTCACAAAGTAATTGTGTCTAAAGGATAAAATGTTCAGTGTGTGAAGCTTGCTATATACATATAGGGGAGAGTAGTAGACAGGTGAAGGTCAGAGTGAATAAACATAGACTATGCATGAAACGCCCACCTACAAATGAAGTAGAACTAAGAAGGCTAGAGAAAAGATCGGCAATAGCAATATATGCGATAGACAGCGGATATAAGATTGATTTTGACAATGTCAAAATTCTAGGAAGAGGCTTTCATTCAACACATAGAGAAAGGTTGACCTCTGAAGCCTTGCTCACTTTAACCACGTCGAATGTCGTAAATAGGAAAGAAGGGATAGACTTATCACCTATATAGCAAACTCTAATGAAGCAAGACAGATGAAAAAACAACAAGAACCTCTATGAACCTCCATGACCTTTAAAAAATGTATTATTTTCCATTTTCACACTAGTAACTAGTGTGATGTGTCTAGTCCTCTGATTGGTGCAGACCGAGTTCTATCAGTCAGGTTGTAATGTGGCCATCAACCTAGGTAGCTCGCCATCACGGTGCACATTGATTTGATGGTATTAAGTGGTTGGAAGCAATCGGCAGGAAGCCTTGGACCTAGGTTTCGTGCTAGTTGGCACTCACCGGTCAGCAAGGCGTATCTGCAATCACCTTGAAGGAACTCATGTCCCTTCTGAGATTCGAACCCACGTCACCCAGTGACACCTGTAGTCAGAGAAGTTACCAGTGAGCTATTCAGGCTCGCGGTTGACCTCCTGTAGGACTGTAGTGGATATTTTTTTACCACGAATTATCATGTTTATTACACGTCATTTGACATATTTTCCACATGACAAATAACAAACAAACATACACAATAACCATTTGACATTAGTTAGAGAACCATTGAAAACATTTAGGGAGTACTGGACAGATGTTCTGTCCTAGTTTGGGACTCTTCACAGTACGCACCCACCGGGTTTCGAACTCAGGACCCCGTGGTTACACGGCTAGCGATCTTGTAGACCATTCAGCTGCCACTGGGATCCTATCCGCTGGCCAGCCCATAAATTCTAACTTCTGCGAAGAGTTCATGACATAGCGCGACCACTTCGCTATGTCTTCTTCAATGAGTTACTGTTTCACCTTCAACTTGCTCACTATGAAATCCTCAAACCAATGAAAATAAATCCTGACAAAAACCAATACTTGAAAATTTGACATTACAAAGTCATTACAAATATACGATAACTGCTTGCATATTTCTATTGGTACAAATGTCTATCGACAAGATACCTTCAAATTGAACTGACTTCAATTTATGTAAACATTTTTTTTACCATTAATTTTGATGATTAATAAAAATCCTTATAATTCTGCTGCTGTTGAAGAAGCGTTCAGAAAATACATCTGGTTTTGATTTGTTCTTGAATCTACTGGGATTAATTTAAATAATAATTTATAATGAATCAATCGGACTCGGAAGTCAAATTATTCCAGGAAGTTCGTAACATCTTTTGTCTGGAAACTTATAAAATTACAGGAGGATTTCCAAAAGAAGCCGATTTAGTCTTCATAATTCAACCCTGTTGTACATCACAATCCTCTGTAATCGATTTAGCATGAAGTTATATATATACATATGTTACATTGAAAATGTATTGACCAGTATTAAAGTTGACTAGCTCACCTCTTCTGTATTCATATAAAGAAAACCAAATGAGCCCAGACGATAATTCATTGATGCAACGATAACATTCTGTCGAACTGCTAGAAATCTTGCATCGTATACACTAAGTGTTGATGTGCCCATATAAAAACTTCCCCCGTAAATCCATAACTGGTTCATTTCATCGATAACAGGTGAATAGAATGCGAAAAAAAAATATACGATTACATCATGGTTAATACAAATCTCACAATTAAAGTAATTCGACGAGTAGAGGTAAATAAATGCAGTTACTGCTCACTCGCCATTATTATCGATTATTGTTTCCCTTAGTTCCTAGAGGAACACAGGGCTCCAGTCGCACATCTCAATTGCATTCAGTTCTTCACCATCCTTCTTACCTCGATCCAAGTCTGCTCACATGCATTCATCTCCTCTTCACATCACCGCCTCCTCCAAGTCACCCTCTCACTGACAACCAACTCACTACTCCCTATTCGGATTCCACTTCAGGAATGACCTGGTGTGTAATGTCACTTGATGGTTTGTTTCCTCAGAGTATGGCCAGCCAATCCACCTCCATTTCTTCCTGCATATTTGTTGCACATTTAGCTCCTACTGGGTTGGTTCGCTTGTTGCCAGAGATCCCTGAGTATTTTTGATATTTTCTGGCTGGCCATCTGATCTTAAGTAGTAGTGAAAGAAGAAAGCTGTTAATGAAAGTCTGTAGTTTGTTCAAGTTGACCTTCGTAACGTGGCGCTGTGCCAAGTCTCTGATCCATATAGTGAGTACCAATGACGTCACATTGGAAATGAAAATCTGGATGTTATTTTTCATGCTGAGCAGTGCTGATTACTTGAGAGTAATGAAAGCTTTCCCTGTTTTCCCGATCCTCATTTTGCTCGCTCATTAGCATAGCTAAATTTTAAATCCCCAGAGTTTATGCCACTCAGAGGATATAATTCTTTTCGGTGCAAATGGTAACAAAATGCGAAGTCTTCTGAACACCTTGAATAAAAGTCTGAGTATATATATAGTATGTAGTTTACACACGTGAAGCAGGTGACAGGAATTGCCCAAAATTGTGTGAAGTTTAAAGATAAGCAGTCAAACGGTAGACTACGTCAATCTCGTTGGTCCGAGGGTGACATGGAAGTGATCACGTGAATAGAAAGTGAAGGTTTCATTTTAATTACAAGCATTGTTATTGAAGTGGAAAAACTCAAACCTTAACCAATGTGAGATACCTCCTAAGATTGCGATGTTTTAGAAAGTTTCAAAAAGTCCGTTTTGAATAAGTGGATGTTTTGAATAAAACTGTCCTTGATCTCATGCATTGAGCAATCCATTGAATATTGATTACTGTTTCACTAAGGTGTCATTCTCACCCCTTACTTTCCAAGTGCAAACACTATGGCTTTAAGCGTTGTAATTAAAATGATGATGGGATTGTTGATACAAAGTAGCCTGATGTCCAAGTTTCTTTCTTTTCCGAAATTTCTGTCAACTATTAGACTATGCAAGATTTAAACGTTTGTCAAACAAGAATTGAACCCCCTAAGAAACGATTGTTCAGTAAACACTACAACACAGAGTGTAGACCAACTACGGCTGATGATTTCTTAAGCTTTTCTAGTTCATTAGAAAAAAAGACAACACAAAGTTCAGCAAAGATGTCGATCTTTTCTCGGCGATTTGATTTTCAAAAGCAGCTGTACAATCGCATTTAATTGCATAATTTTACACGGATACATTTTCTTGTTTGATTCCACATAATTACGAAGGCAAATAAAAGGTGATAATTATTTTCAACTAGATATGGTTTTTACGACAGGCTTAGAAACAAAATTAACACAGGATTTGAACGGATAACAGGTGTGTAAAAATGAGCATGGAAACAAAATTGAAATAATCATTTTAACTTGAGATGGAAATTAGGAGGTGTTATACAGATTACAAGAGCCTTAGAAACACAAAAATTACACAGGATTGGAATATAATTGTTAAGTAGTTATTTTAAACGAATTATAAATGTGAGCCGGAAATAATGCTTCAATAATGCTACTTCTGATTGAACCTGTGCCTCCTCTTCACAGCCACGCTAAGTAGTGTTCTGTAACACGTCTTGAAAGGACGCGCATACAATGACCTGTGTACTTAACTCCGTACGAGCAGGCGAACTGGTATATGCACATTGAACTGGTCATATGCGAGAGTTTATCCTTCGCGTTGTCTCGAAGTATTGGACGACTAGAGAATGTCACTCTTAGTGTTGCTGCGGGGAAGGTCTTCTTTGAAGAGCTGGATATTCTCCTCTTCAGCATATTGGCTGCCAAATCTCCTCCCCCCGCCCACTGGAATTCAAATTCAGATACAGTGTTTTCTTTGGCGCTGAAATGCATTCTTCTCTTTTTGGTATAGGTTTCATGTTCTTTTCGACAAAACGTATCGGGTAACCATTTTGAGCCAGGATATCTTTGAGGAATCGAAGCTCCTCTTCCACTTTCTAGTTCAGCTGGATTTCTCAGTGGTTGAACAAAAGCCATTCTATGGTGTTAATTTCTTCTGATCTTGATTTTTCGAGATGTTTGTCCAATGTAAATTGCATTAGATTCGAAGCATTTTATCTTGTAGACACAGTTCGATTGAGAATCTTTAGGGATTCAGTCTTTTATATGAACAAGGTTGCTTTGCAATGTGAATGCTCGATGTTTTTTTTAGGAAAACTCTGAGGTCGAGATTATTTGAGTATTTGTCACTGTCATCCTTGTCATTCATATCGGAGTATTCAAAAGGAATCTGCAGCGTGATGTAGGTGAAATCAACAGTGATAGAGCAAAATCCAAGAAGTATATATTAATCCATAGTGTAGTAATCAGAAGTAGTAGAATTTTAGCCAGAGAAAAATCCGCTTTAGTAGTTGACATTTTATATTTAGTAGTGAAAAGTGTTATCAATCATAAAATATTTAATATCATATATATATTTTCTATAGTTTTGGTTTGTAAGGATTAGTTATGTTTTACGAGTTGATCACGGATTGATATCAGTTAGGGAACCATTGAAAACCAGGGAGTACTGGACAGCTGCTGTTTCACCCTAGTTTGGGAATCATCGGCAGTACGCACCCACTGGGTTTCGAACCCAGGACCTTCCGGTTACAAGGCAAGCTCGTATACCATTCAGCCACTGGGACCCGATTCAATGGCTCGTGAATTCACGAGCCGGAAGGTCCTGGGTTCGAAACCCAGTGGGTGCGTACTGCCGATGATTCCCAAACTAGGATGAAACAGCAGCTGTCCAGTACTCCCTGGTTTTCAATGGTTCTCTAACTGATATCAATCCGTGATCAACTCGTAAATCATATATATATATATATATATATATATATATATATATTCAGTATGCATACTTTTAAACCGCTCAGTTTAAAAGTGGATTACTTTCTAAGGTTAATGATAACGGTATTAATTTCCAACAATTGGTTTGTGAGGATTAGATTTGACCACGGATTGATATCAGTTAGAGAACCATTGAAACCACCAGCCACAGGGAGTACTGGACAGCTGGCTGTTACGTCAGCCTAGTTTGATAATCATCGGCAGTATACACCCACCACCAGGATTGGAAAACAGGACTTTCCGTTTACAAGACAAGCTAGCTCGTATATCATTCAATCACTGGTACCCGATTCACTGGCTAACCCATGAACTCTACTTCTACCAATTCGTGATTTAGTGCGACTGGCACCAAATAATGTTGTCGGTGGGACATCCATCCTCACACTCGATTGGATGGACCTTAACGGTCACGACATCTCACTGGAACTGTAGGAAACTTTGTCCTGTCGCTCACTAGCGAGCATTAGATCAATTTTCAAGCTTTGATTTGTCAGGATCAGATTGATATCAATCCATGGTCGAACTCGTGACAACAAAACTAATGCTCACTAATGAGCGACAGAACAAAGTTTCCTGGAGTTCTAGTGAGAAGTCGTGACCACTGAGGTCAGTCTCCAGTCAAGTGTGAGGATAGATGTCCCACCGATGAGATTGGTTGGTGGTCACGCTGAACGACGAATTGGTAGAAGTTAGAATTCATCAGCTAGCCAATTAATCGGGATGCAGTGGCTGAATGGTATACGAGCTAGCTTGCCTTGAAACTGGAAGGTCCTGTTTTCAAATCGTGGTATTTATTGTTATTATTTCCTTTGATTCCTAGAGGAAAGTAAGGCTTAAGCCAAACGTCACCATTGCGTCTGGTTGTCTGCTAGAGTTTTCATTCCGCTCCAAGTCTGCCAACACGCTTTCATCTCCTCCCCCTCACATGACCTCCTCTAAGTCACCCTTGCACTGACGACCAACTCGCCGCTTCTCTTTCGAGGTCCACTAGAGCAATGGCTTTTCTAGTGATGTCACTTGATGGTTTGTTTTCTCAGAGTATGGCCAGCCAATCCACCTCCATTTCTTCCCGCTTATTTGTTTCACAATCGGTTCCTGCTGGGTTGGTTCGCTCATTGCCAGAGATCCCTGTTGGTGATCTTGTCTGACCGGCCATCTGATCTTGAGTATTGAGACAAGACAGCTGTTGATGAAGGTCTGTAGTATGTTTGACGTGGCGTTATTGACATATCAAGTCTCTGATCCATGTAGTAGCCACTGACTGACTTCAGTTTGAAGTTGAAAATCTGAATCTTATTTTTCATACTGAGTGCTGTCGAATCGTGGCAGTGAATGCATACTGCTGACGATTTCCAAACTGATGGGATGAAACAACTGTCCAGTACTGCATGTGGCTGATTTCCAATAGTTCTCTAACTGATACTATACGTGGTCAAACTCGTATAAATAATATTAGTAATAATAGCAGTAATGGCTTTATTCCCAAAACAGTACTTTCGGTAAGATTATGAAATTTTTAGCATATAATACAATATTGCATCTAATTTTCTCAGTACGGGGACAATAATTAAATAGGGTATTAACATTAATACTATTGTCCAAAAAGAAATGAGTATAAAATTAAATCAAATGAAAATAATAACGAAACGTAACAGTGTAAAAAACAACAACAACAAAAAGTGCCGTTTACTTAGAGTTTCTTAATAAGTTGGTAATTTCCTGTCTTCCACAATTTTCGCATCACATGAAATATGTGCTTACCAAACGAGGTATTGTAGAGTTTTCATACGCAGTAGTCCGGGCATAAAGTCTCCTATAGTTGCTTCGAGCTCTACCCGATAAGATAGATGAAAAGGAGACATTTGTGTATGGAGAGGATGTTCAGAGTCCGACAAGATAATATTTACTGATTACTTGCAGGAATACAAGTGTCTATCTACAATAGTGGCAACGAATTTTTTTTTTTTAAAGTTGGTTTGTTTAGATGCTTAAACTGCAAGGTCACTGATTACAATAGGACTACAATTTAAATGCTAACCAGACGTATTCTGGAGGAAAATCATAGCCTAGTAATAACTGGATTTGCATTTTGAAATTTAACTTTCAGGAACAGCCAAAAACGCCAAACAGCGTGCTTAAAACCTTGTGAATGCCTCTTTTTTACTCAATAAAATGTGAGTAAATATAAGAATCCATAAGTTATGAGTACTATAAGAGATAGAACTTACCATAACTGCAAGTTTTTCTTTCGAATTTAAATGATTGTCGTTTGATTGACGTGAAGGCACCCAAATATTTAAGAAAAGACAATCTTCTGACATTGGTGTGTTTGGTACCCACATTCGAGCAGCTGCTGAATTCTAAAACAAAAGTGGTTATAATTGAAAAGACCGTCATTAGTTATAATAGTGTCTTTCATTACAGAATCGATACAACTGTCAACTCGCTTTCAGAGCCACTGACCGTATAAGAGGAATCTTTTCGGGAAAAAGGTTGAGTGTTACGGAAGCTAGATGAAATTTACGATGGAGGAGTGACTTAATAGATTTAAACCACACTCAGATTATAGAATTGAACATAAAAAACGTATTTTTACTTCTGACGTTGGTACTTTACGATATGATAGAGAAGATTTGTAGCTCAGGTGGATGCTTTTGATGTGGTTGTGTTCTCTGAGCTGGATAGTTAATTTGCGAAGCTTTCATCGCCCACCACTAAGCGACATCTTCAGCGAATTCTTCAATTTGATGAAGTTAGCTTTTAGATTTCTCCGCGAGTTTATTAATCATCTCTCCTGACGGGTGACCTTGGATGTGATTGGTTGTTTTTGTGTGTTTTCACACCTTCTAGGTTATTGGTGGTATTGGAACTGATTGTTTCTTTGACTTGAGCTTTGACCCTTTGTGTGTGAAGTTTCTTTCTTATTGGTTGATAAATTTTTTCTATCTCGATGTGTCTATTGATTGATGATTCACTGGAATACCAGATGGGCTTCTAAAAATTCTCTAGTATTCTTGGTGTTTCCTCTGTCTAATATTTGAACGTTGGTTGTCTCAGTCGAATTGATGTCCGTGGTTGTCTGTGTGTAGTGAAATGAGGGAGTGGATGTCATGTCTTTTGATGGGTAGCTTATGTTCGTGGATACGAAGATGAAGGGGACGTCCACTTTGGCCAATAAAGTGTTTTTCACAGTTGTTACAATTTATTTTGTAGATGATGTTGGTTTTATCTTCTTTCGCTGTTGAGTCTTTTGGTTGACATAGAATTGATTGAAGCGACTTTGTTGGTTTGTATACAACGTCAATTCCTAAAGGTTTGAATAGTCTTGTAGTGATTTCTGAGATGTCCTTTATATATGGTAGGGCGATTTTCTTTGTGCTTCCTTGGAGGCTTTTGATTTGATGGGTTGGCTTGGGGGTAGATGTCTTTCGATGAAATTTCATGGATATGCATTCTTTTGGAAGACGTCCATGAGATATCTTTCTTCAATTTTCCTTAAGGTGGGAGTGCTGCAATACGTTCTGGCTGGTCCTTTTTGGAATAGTGTTTCTTTTCAATTCATTTTGTATTTTATTGGATTGTTGCTGTTGTAATTCAGAATTTGATCTGTGTGAGTTGATTTTCTATAAACCTGAGTTTCCGATTCCCCTGTGGTTGTTCACTTGACTAAGACGTCCAAAAATGGGATTTGTTTCTCGGATTCCTCTTCTCTTGAGAATTCGATGTCGTTGAAGACGTTGTTTATTAAGTTGTGAGTTTTATCTAACTCGTTTCTTTTGATTATTACAAATGTGTCGTCGACGTAGCGTATCCAAATCTTGGGTTTGATCTTTGGTAGGATTATGTTTTCAAGCGTTTGCATCACTTCTTCTGCAATCAAACTTGATATTGGTGATTCCTTGGGTGTTTCTTTGACTTATTCATATATTTGACCGTTGAATTGGAAGTATGTTGTTAGGCATAGGTTTATGCATTCCATCCAGCTTGTGTGTTGCATTTTTGATTGCTGGTACTTTTCGAAGCAGTGCACAACATAGCATATCAAAATGTCTTGAAGAACAAATTTCCCGGCTAAACCGCTTTCATCATCTTCTTCTTCTTAATTATCACCATCCTTAAAAGCTAACAAGTTAGTTATGTGAATAAATGGCTTAGAAATTCATCTCCATCTGAATTTCACATGAATTAGTATTACCATTTTCATCCGGTATATGCCCAGCTATTTTATTCTAGAAAATATTAGGCTGGAAGAAAACCAAAGTTGAATAAATTAGGATGTGGAGCTATTTCATCGATATATCTAATATCGGTTTGATTTATTATTATTTTTATTATTCCCTTGGGTTTTGAGAAGAACATACAGCACACCTGCCTTCTTCTATACAGTCCTCTTCGGCTCTATGATTGACCGTAAGTTTGCATCTCTTCCTCACGCAATCACCTCCATCTCACACCTCCGGATGCCTATTTCGCCGATTTCCGATCGAGAGATGGACTGACCTGCGACGCCAATCGATGGTCTCCTAGGGGCGTTTGTCCGATTTATCGCCACTTTCTTCAGTATTATGGTTGAGCATTAGGTTCTAAGGTTGGTTCGTCCACAGAGTTCCTTGTTGCTAGTTTTTTTTTCTGGTTAGCTATTTAATCTTCAATATGAAGCCGATTAAGGCAGCTGTTTATAAAAAGTCTTAAGCCTATTCGAAATGGTTTTTTCGTGAAGCACCTACCAAGTTTCTTATGCATATAGAGAAGAGAAGTAACTGGCTTGACACTGGTGCTGAACATTCAAATTCTGTTGTTTACACTGAGTGCTGATGATTTCCCGAGTCATTTTAAAGGGATAAACGTTTGTCTTACCTTTTTGATCTTCGCCTAGCTTTGACTTCTTCATCCGTTCCGACTGCTTGTAGTTAAAAACCGTGCTTCTAGCTCAGATAAGGGAAGGAATTAACCTCTTTTGAATTCCTACCATGGATGGTGATTGGTGCTGTTTGTTATTTCTGTTGGTTGGTTGGCTATCTTCATCACTTCCATATGTCTTCTCCATGTTCAGCTGTAGTCCCGTCTTCACTACCTGCTTCTTCTTCTTCCAGTTTGTCGGTTTTCACCTGCAAGTTTGTGTGATATCAAATCTAAATCATCTGAGAAATCCACATCTTGTAGAGTCTTAGTGTCAGTCCAACAGATTCCTGTCTTCTTGCTTCCCACTCTCTTCCACACAGTCAAATCCACCACACTTAAGAACATCCTCAGTGATAGTACGAAGTCTTGTCCTTACTCCTGCACTCATTTCTGATGCTTCACTGTGTCCTCTATTGGGGTTCATCTAATACGTGCCATTGATCACAAAAGTTGTTGAAAAGGGTTGATAAAGATTTTGGGCATTTCAATTCATAGTGTGGAAGTAGTTTCCAAATTACTAGCCATCAAAAAGTTCAAACCTACGCTTTGTATCGAAAAGAAATACATTCAACCCTTGTCCCTGTCATGGCCATCATAAACAGGTAATTCTTTCAGTAGTAGCTATCCAATTGACTTTCTTATCCAAACTTCCTGTTTATTCATGTTATTTTTAAGTTTTTCTTAATGCCTATTTGCACTACGATATTTTCTTATCCGAACTTCCTGTCTCTTTTGTTATTTTATTATTTCTACACATTTAATCCCCAATTGCATAAACAATTATTCGTCACATTAGTTATGATCCCATTAGATCTTTTTATCCAAACATCCTGTCTATTTTTGTTATTTCTACATTTAGAACCCCCTAACTGCACAATCATTGTCAATCTTTTCGGTAATTATCATGCTATTTTGTTTGAGCTTTACACGTCCTGTCAACCTGTTTATTATGGCATTGTATTTCCTGATTGTAATTTTATCAATCTGACCCTTGACCTGGAGTTGTTCTGGGACCTTCCCAACCATTTGTAATATAAATACACAAATGTACAGCTATCATCTAGTTGACGGTGCCTTCGTTGAAAAGGAAATTTTCTTCGCCGCAACTGTTTTTTTATTCCGTATGATCAAATGTGTATATTCCGTGGTTTAAATTGATTTGCTTTGGAGTAAATCAACTTCCTATTAATATATGTGTAAAACTTGAGCACTGTGGTAGTAAGTAATTCCATAATAGTTTGTTTATTAGATATATCAAACAGTGAGTGAAACAGTATTATTTACTGAATGACAAGGTTTCGAACACAATCTATTATTGTTCATAATCATATCAATTGTAATCACTCGACTTTGAAACTTGAGTTTTATAGTTTTCTTTGTCTTCTCCTATTTGTCATCGTAGGGGTAGTAGAATTTTCCATATATCTGAGACAGGTGTCGAATCATTCCTATTACATGTATTTGTAGGCTGATTCGATACACAAAGCTTCTGTTATCAACCCCTTCCTATACCCTGTGACATTAGATTTTAAAAATGTCATCTATCCCATCCAGCCTATTGTTTGGTTGTGTGCATTTGCATGTAGTGCTATCTACGGCTGAACTATCCTCTAGATTTCTTATCTTATTTGGGTCAACCAATCTAGATTTTGCTGCTTGGTTTTTATGTTCAGCTAGTCGGACTGTCCCTGTTCTACTAGTTTGACCTATATATCTGACCTAACAATCACTGCTAACAGGGTATTAGATAAACTAAACTGTTTTGTTTCAACGGCTCCACAGGATCCTTTAACCGACAAAGCTTGTTTCTGATTGAGTTTGTGCGTGGTTTGAATACCAGCCACTTTTATTCCTGCCTTGTTAAGAATTCCGCGTAAGGCTTCTGTGGTTCCTCCCTTGTATGGAATTACTGTTGATGATTTACATTCCTTATTGTTGGTGTTGTCATTAATATTATTATTATTATCACTATTGTTATTATCATTATTAGTGTTATCATTAATAGAAAGAATACGTGTAATAGGGACGATTCAACATCTGTCCAGCCAGATATTTGAAAAATTCTACTAACCCTACGATGACAAATAGGAGAAGACAAAGAGAACTATAAAACTCAAGTTTCAAAGTCGAGTGATTACAATTGATATGATTATGAACAATAAATTTTGTTCGAAACCTTGTCATCCAGTAAATACTAATATTGTTTCACTCTGTGACACATATAATAAACAAAAACTAATATGGAATTATATCAACTTCCTGATTTATTTCTCTAAGGTGATTGAAATTAGTGTTCAGAGACTGATGTTTTCATGTAAAGTTGACAGCTGTTCTAATTTTTATTGCGTCGCACGTTTACAATTACATATTTTTCACTTCTCCTTAAATGTGTAAACCTTTTCTATTCGGGTTGTAAAGCAGTGATTTTAGGTGTAACATTGATATCACTTTATGGACT